TGGTTATGCAATGGGCCTTTCGATGTTTATGTGCTAAAAAACCGAAAAAGCGCACTCAAATCTCTATGCCACACATGTATCTATCCTTCCAAAACATTATGCGTTCAGATATAGGTTATCAAAGGCTACAAAACGCGCTATTTAGCGTCTCCACACGTTCATTTGTTCCAAAGATATACCTACAACACTCCTCATCCCTCAATATCACACAAAGCGAACTTCTGTATCTCCCCCAATTATTATCCAAGACCTGTAGAACTTTTCAGTCAGTCTCACCCAGTGCCCTACTCACTATTTACAGTCACATAGCATGGTATAGACTCCCTTTTAATATAATATAAGCACTCCTTCCTCCTCCCCCTGAAAAGCCAGAAATGCGCCCTCCATTCCCCATTCCCCAGGCTACTTATGTGAGCTGTAACATATATACATGTTAATTGTAGCCATATAGGTACCTCCATGCAAGAATACAGGAGTTATAGCACTCTGTGGGGAGATCCACAAAGTACTGCCAATTCTTCACCAATCTTCAAGGAAAAACATGTCCCAGAATCGGAACAATCTCCTCTTAAAATTCCGAGACCTCCGAGATGACCAATGTGACACCTTAGATAACATAAGAATTGAACTGATTGCCACTTTTAAGGAGATCAAGGATATATATAATTAATCAGACAATGCAGAGACATTCTACTGACTACTTCTAAGTGTCCTCAAAAAGTTCTGAAGGTCTGAAATGAACCTCAAACAGACTGGTGAGGAGTGGTGATCACCATATTGCCTAGTTTGTCAAATGTGTTCACCCCGGAAACTGGAGGTAGTATCATTGCTCACAGGTCTGAGAGGGGTTTACAAACACTACTCTTTAACATCTATATTTTTACGAAATTTTAGAGCAAGGACTATACCTCCAATCCGAGGTAGAATCTTGGAGAGGGCAATTGAGAAGGCAGAAGGACAGTTGCATGAATAAAATATTCAGTTCTTATTCAACTTGCATCGGACTTTTTCTAGATCACTCTAACAGTAGTAGAGTAAGTATTCCGAGCTATCTGATGAGATTTGGGGCACTAGAGGATATGCCAGAAGGATGCCATGAAGGAT